TTCATACCCGCGCTCCTGCCCGCCCAGGATCTGCCTTTCGGCTCATCGCAGTACGCTGTGGGATGGAGAGGTCCACGGGTGGGCAGAGGTGCTTGTGGGAGGCTCAGACGCAGTAACTAGGCTTTTGAAGAAAACCTTGTGGGTATATCTGATGGCTTCAGGCCAATAAATCCACAAGCGCTCTTAAGACCTTGCGGCCTGAGGGTACCTGGAGCAGCCCTAACGCTTGACCTACACGTGCATCTTCAGGCCCGTGTACCGAGCAGAGGCTCTGCTGGAGGCAGAGGACAAAGTCCTCTGCATGTGCTGCGTCCCCAGGAGACACGCGCACATACCAAGGTCGCCCGACGAAATTGTGACGCTGTCCAGAGCAGGCGATGAGGAAGCTGATCTTCAAATAACCAGCTGCAGTGGGGTCCTGCTTCCCCGCTCCCATCAGACAGCTTCTGACTGACAACCAACGTGTGGGTGCTCGGGGTATTTTCTCTCTTAGGTTTTAGACTAGTCTTTTCTTACATTGGGTTTGTAAAGAGGCCTCAATCCTGGTTCAAGATCCTGCTACGCTTTTAGCTTCGGCGTCAGCCATGACAAATTTTGAAGATCCATTTGTGGTTTTGCTGCCTTTTGGATGCATGTGCCGTCTCCAGCCCTTGGGACTCGTACTAAAAGCAAGCCCCCTCTGCTCTGCCCTACCTACACGCTGCTTTTGCATCTGCCTAGCTCGGCTTTTTTCATTCATCTTCTCTTTTCCTCTAAAACAGCCCCAGCCCGACATTTTGAAGAGGAGCAGGCAGCAAGGGAGATGTGATGCTGACATGTAGCTTCTCACCGACACAACATGCAAAGGTATCACGGTATTTTCAGCCAAGGATGAGCAAAGTCAAATTCATCTGCCCTGATGTTTAACCTCCTTTCAGTACTGTCCCTATGCAGAGAAAAAAAAAAAAAAAAAAAGTGCCTTTTCTTCATTTTTAAATCAAAATCGTCTGTCCCTGAGTCCTTGTTTCTAAAATAATTCCAGCCAGTGCTGAACCCACTCATGCCTGGGCAGCCCGAGTCAGCTCCTGCAATGGAAATCCCCTTTCCTTTTTCACTACTTCATTTTGTCCGCTCTGAAGTCACCTGCCTTCGGAAGATTCCCCTGAAATCCCCCAAATCTCAGCCCCCCCCTCCGGATCACCGCCGCCGCGCAATTACAAAGGTCCCCGGCCGCGGCACCGCTGGGCTGGAGAGGCTCTGGGTCACGGCCAGCCCGCTCGCCGAGGAGGAGGATGGCGAGCGGAGGGCTGGGAGGGATTTCTCGCTGATGATATTGTTACATTCTTTCCGAATCCTGGGAGTAAACAGACGCTCCAAATTTAGAAAGAACAGGACTGGAAAATTTAAACATTCCTTGAAGAATTGGTACAAAAGGGGGGTGGGGGGGCTGAAGATGATCTCACACGCGCTCCCGAGCCAGATGAAAAGCTTATGACTCGAGTTCAGAAAGCAAGTGAGGGGCCTGTTTCAGGTCGGGACGCGATATCGCAAGGATAAAGCTCCCCCCCGGCGCGTGAAACCGCAATGCAAAAGAGCCTCCGCCGGGCAAGGGGGGTCCCAGCCCCAGCAGCCCGGGCTGCAGGGACCACGGCCGCGGGCCACACGGCCACCCCGGCTGGCATACGGCCTCGGGCACGGGGGGGGGGGGAGCCCGGCCCCTCGGCCCCAGGACCGGGGGTAGGGGCAGGATGGGTGCCTGAGCATCACCTGGGCGAGCATCCCAAGCCCTCGGCTGTCGCTTTTAGCCACTGAATGAAGATCTCCCCACGCTCCGCTGCAGCTGGGCAAACGGAGTGGAGGTGGTGAAGCTCAGCACCCGGCAGCTCAGCACCGCGCTACGGCTCTGGCCGGGCTCCAATACAAGAGCTGGCATGCGGGAGCCATCAGGGAGCGATGGAGCCAGACCGCTGCTGCTGCTTCATAAACAGATAACGGCTGTTAATAAAAACCAAGCGGGGGTTTGCAAAGGGGAAGAAGAAGGGGGGAAAAAAATACCAAGTGAAAAAAAACAAAACAAAACAAAACGAAACAAAGCAAAAAAAAAAAAAAGGGAAAAAATAGCAAATAAAAAAAGCAAAAAAGCGAGCGTTTGTGCTGAAGTAAACAAAGGTTAAAGAACAGTCAGGCTCCTGCAGGAATAGCAAAGCTGGGCCGGGAGGGAGGGAGGGGGCATTACGTAATGCAGGAAAAATGTTGGCTCCATTCAGTTTTCCACCACTTCATGTGATGTCAGGAAAACCATATAAATCAACAGGCTTTCTGCTCCCACGGATGGAGGGCAGCAAGCAGCACTATTTATACTTACACAATTAAAAAAAAAAAAAAAAAAAATGAAAGGAAAAAAAGAAGAGAAGCCGATGATTTCCAAGACTGGGAATAATTGACTCAGTATTCCTCCTTCCCAGCCCCTCTGGAATTGCTGCTCCCGGGCTGTTAACCCTTGAGGGGTCCCTGCCGCCGCTCTTGCCAAGCCCAGCTCCCTTGTCCTCGCCCATCAGACTCCATCAGCCGCTTCAAATGTCTGAAGGACGATGGGCTGGAGGCGAGGAAGAGTGGCCAAGCGCAGCATTTGCACAAGATGAGGACATCGAGGCGGGATGCGCGTCGCATCCGCCGGGGCTGAGGAGAGCCAGGGAGCACGGAGGGGCTGCCTAGGGCTGCCACACTGGATTGGGGACCCCCAGGGTGGGGTTGCCTGAGGCGCTGGCATCTGTTTAGGGACAGGCTGAGATTTCAGGACAGGAGCCTAAGATTTCAGCAGCCCTTGCCAGCCCGACTCCCCGCTGGGGTCACAAGCCACATCTGCTGGGACATGGCATCGGTTGGGGCAGGACAAGATGCCTGAGCCCAGAGCGGACAGAACGAGGTGTTAAACCCCACCAAGGCGAGGGGTCAGAATCAGGCCCGGCCGCACATCACACCCCAGACCTCCCAAGCGCTGCGGAGCGGCCCCTAAAACAACCCTGCCGGCGCCCACGCCGTGGGCAGGAGGAGGCCGTGCCTGTTGGCAAGAGTGCCCAGCCTCCCCGGGACGTTCTCGGCGGTCACAATTTCCACGTGAAACGCTGCTGCCATGACCCAGTGTTCTACATTTTGGTTCCCGTTTTTCCCACCCGCTGGTGGCCCGCGTGTGCCACATCAGCCCGCGGCCCTGCGGCGCTTTTCCTTAGGGAGGTTTAAGCTTTGCTTGGCGCCCAGCACAGCCGCGCTCTTGCCCGGGGGGGGTCTGGGCCCAGGGGAATGGAAACGGCCACCCTGGAGACGGAGGGTGCTGTGCCCAAGCAGGGTGCAGGTTTGCTGGCGGAGGCTCAGGGGTGGCGATGCTGATGGCTGGGGGCGGGGGGGGGAGGCGGGGGTGGCACGCCACCACCCAGCATGGGACATGCCCTGCACGTGCACCGGTGCTACGGGGGTCCCCCAAACCTTCCCTCACTCTCCCAGGGAGAAGAAGGCTCCGGGGTTTTCAGGGCCACCTCACCCAGCCCCATCCCTGCTCCAGGTTTGCAGCCCAGAGCACAGCGCTGCCCCTCGCCCAGCCCTAGGAAAGCGGCGGCGGCGGGGGGGGGGGGGCGTGCCGGGGTTACAACCACGAAGGCTGTTTCCTGACCTGTCCCAGTGACTAAGCAGGTTCCTTCCCAGATAAGACCGAATCCACCTTCTCCTGCATCATGTGCCAGGCCGTGCCCTTGTTTATGCTGGGACGACCTTGGAGCGGCGGGCACGGCAGCTGGGGTGGGCCAGGGGCTGCGCAGCGAGCTCACGGCCACATCCTCCCACGCTGGCCTCAGCAGAGCTCCTGCAACCCAGGCCACGTTAAATTAGCTTTAACGGGATTTCGCGTAGTCCCTGCTCGCTTTTGAAACTCTCCAAACAGGGAGGTTTGCTCCCGCCATTCCTCTGCTTTGTTCTCCCCATCACAACGCAGCTGCTCTAATTCGGCAGCACTCACCCGTGCCTTGCTCAGGCAAGGCTCCCTGAATGCCACTTGCTTTTGCCACCTTCCCCATCACAACTAACCCTTCCCAGGGCCCGGCACGCTGCTGGGTTTGCGGGTACGGCTGCTCCCTCCATCCCTGGGATGCCCCGGCACACAGAGATCGGTACCCTCCACCTCAGCACCAAAGCAGTACGAGGGCGAGGATGGGCTTGGGGAGCAGAGATGACCCCCATCTCCGTGCTTTTGGCACTACCTAGGAGCCTGGCTGAGCTCAGCAGGACTGAGGGGCTGCGTGGGGCAGCACCTCCCCACCCCAGAAAGCTCAGAGGTGGGCAGCCAGGCAGGCAGGCGCCCGGCTGTCCCAGCCATGGGCCATTAAAGGCAGCTTTAACTCTCTCTTCAGCAGCTCGTTGCCTTTTTCTCCTCCTCTCTGCTGGGCCGGGGCGTTTCATTCATCGGCCGCCTGCCTCCCGTTTTGCTCTGTGGAAGGGCTGTAATTAGGGCAGCGTGTGCCTCCTCCTGCCTGGGCGCTCACACCCGGAGAGCATCATCTCCAGCAGACCCTGACTCACCCAGCGATGACCCTCTGCCCCTGCCTTCCTTCCCCGCCCCAGCACATCCACGGCTTTCCTCTCCTGCCTTCCCTTTAACAGCAGCGAGAGGGAGCAGAGCGCCCAAACTGGATCCGGCCCTTGGCACGTTCACCAGGATGGGGGAACGAAGGGCAGCTTTTGGGTGGCTGGATCCCTGCCACTACGACCCCCTCCGTACCCTCCTCTCTCATTCACCCTGGCTGGTGGGTTCAGTGGCGGGGAGCTGGACGGTACAAGGAGCGAACGCACACGGGGGCCCCAGCGACGCCCGCGTGGGTCAAGCCTCCTCGGTCCGTGTCCGGGCCTGCCCCCCGCCACCACAGCCACCAGTGGCCAGGGAAGTGGGTGCGGATGGACACGCGTGGCCACAGCTCCGTAACGCCAGACTACGGGCACGAGCGCCAGGTGAAGCGGTAACCCAGGGCTCCTACCTGTGAGGATGGAGACGCTGTGGAAACAGCTGTCCAGCTTGCCCAGGAGGATGGAGAGGAAGCTGTCGGCAGCCAAGCCGGTCACGTCCCGCGTGCTCTGGTCGTAGACCACCACGTCCTGGTGCTCCTCCGCCTCCACCTGCAGGGAAACGGCGAAAAACGGGTGTCAGAGAAACAGGCTGAGCGCTGAGGACGCTGCTGCTCACACCGCCACGGGAAGCAAAGTGGAATTTAGTGGTCACACAAGCAGGAGACCCCAGCTCCAGGCCGTCCCCACGAGCTGCCTTCGCTCACCAAATGAAGGGTCCAGCCAGGCCGGGGCTCTGCTCCACGGCTACAAGCGAGTGTGTCAGTACAGACGCCCATGAGAGCGGCCCCACCGACTCCCAGTGCTTTTGAGCACCCTACCCAAAACAGGGTCACTCCTCCCCATCGCCCACCCTCAGCTTGCCATTGCTTAACTGCATCCCAGAAGTCGCCGCGACTTATTCCACCACCTCCTCCCCACCCAACCTTTGCCCTCAGATCCAACTCTGGAGCCTGGCTGGTGTCACGGGGATTCGGGGGGGGTGGGTGGGGGGGTGGTTCTGCAGGCAGGGGTGCTCCCAGCCACATCCCTTACGCTGCGGCTGGAGCGAGCGGGACTGGAGCAACAGCTCTTCGGGGCTCAGCCTGGAGACACTGTGCCCAGCACAGTAACACCTCTGGAAGCTCAACCCAAACCTGCAGATCACCCCTGAGGGCTGAAGGAGAGGGAAAATATCTTCTTCAGCTCGGAGGGTGTTCAGGGGGACGCTCTTCCTTTTGTAACGTGTGGAGGGGCTTGCGCCCTGCAGAGATGTGCTGGGGAGAGGGAAGGAGCTCCCGGGCTGCTCTCTTGTGACTTTACATGTCCCAAGCAGCACCCAGCGCTGCCGCCCACCGCTGCAGGGTCTCTGGGGTGCGTGAGACGGTGGGGTACCCCTCAAGCAGGCAGGAGTCCCCCACGCCTGGTGATGGCTGGATTGCAGCGCGAGGGCTCCAGGAGCAGCCGGCCGTTTCTACACCTACCCGAAGGTCCGTGCATTAAAAGAAGATAAAAGGCACGGCTCAGCGCATCTGCTGAATAGCCGGGCGGATGGCAGACGCCTGCCTTGCGAGCGCCTGCCCTCCCAGCCGGCGGGGTAAGGCACATCCATCACGCCGTGGGAGGAGGAGGAGGCGGCAGCAGGCAGGGGAGGAAGGTCTGCGCCACCAAGCCGCTCTCTCCTCCGGCTTGTGTTGGAGCTTCCCATCACCCACCCCCTGCCCGGCCCTCTCCAAAATCTCTTTAGGAGACCACTGGAACTAGGAACCACTCACGGACACCCGCCTCCTTTTGCTGTCTCACTGCCGTGCCCTACGTTACCACCGGTGTAGATTTGCTCAGGGTTTCTGTCGATATTAATGCTGCTTTCACACCCTGCTGCAGGTGCTTCCCTGCTCGGCAACGTGAGCGCCATCCAAATAAAACTGCAGGGTGCACTGATTTAGCTGAGCTCATCACATCTCCTCGCCGCAGTGGAAGGACGGCCCCGCACCGACAGAAATCCCCGCCGGGGCACCACTCACAGCTCTGCACTAGGAAGGTGGGGGGCTCAAAGGAGCCGCCTGTCCCCACCCCGGCACCAGGCACTGGAGAGCAAAACTGGCCCCACAGGTCAGTGGGATAACGGGAGGGATGAAAAGGCAGCGGCAGGATGAGAGAGGAGAGAAAAGCACATGGGAATTTTAAAATAAGGCACCGAAAAATGACCAAAGCCACCTGGGGGTAAGCCAGCTGAGGATTTACCCCAGCATCTCTTCCTCAGCCACCCCTGAAGCAGGACTTTCGCGGGAGGCCATCCCAAGCACATCCAGAGGAAAACACGGTAGCTGCCGAGCCAGCTTGGAGCCGGGAGCCTTCCAATCCTTAGCGGGGCCACTGTCCCTTCAAGCACACCATTTAGCACATCCCCAAAACCCAGTCCCCAGCCTGAAGCCCTACGCCAGCGAAAGCATCTCCCCCGAAAGCAGGATGGGGCAGGGGCTCGTTCCAGCTATGTGGTCCAGGCTGGGGTGGCTGCAGGGGAGATACCAGCTCTGGCCGAGCAGAATTATCCCACAATAGGATTTAGTGTTCCCTCCACACGGAGAGGCTTTGTTTGGGCAATTACGGCAGGGTTGCTGAGCGACGGCAGAGATGTACGACACGGTTTACATCTTATTAAAGTTATAAGGTTTCATTCAATGTAAATGCCAAACAAGCAGTGGCCTCGCATGGCCCGGCTGCAGAAAATAAAAACCCAGCTTGCTGGGGCGAGGATGCCTTCAGGATGGTCCTGAGTAGCCCTCGTGGAGCACACAAGGAGCCCGCACCAGCATCCCGGCTCCTCGCCACAAAGGGAAATGAGAGGGAAGTGTTTAATCCGGTCCGTGGGTCTTCCATTAACCTCACACACTCCTGATACGCAGGGGAAGGCACAGCCCCACCTCTGGCCTTAAACATACAGGGCAGAGGGAGGGGGGGGGTAACGCTGAAAAGATGCTCAGGGCCAGATTCCTGCCTCCGCCAAGTGCTGGGGTAGGGCAGGGGCACGGCTGACAGCAGGAGTCCCTCCGGGGAGCAGCACCTCCGTGGTGGGAGCTCTCCCATGGGGGTTGCCCATCACCCCAAAACTGCTGAAGTAACCAAATCCTCAGGCATCACCCTCCAGAAAGGCTCCCCAAATCCAGCCAGCGAGGGCCAGCGGGGCCAAGGCACAGCGAGTCCTTTGGCCCCACCCAGATGTTGAGCGGGGCTTGCAAACCCGTGCAAGCCTTTGAAAAGCTGCTGGCCCACGCCAGCGCTGCAAGTGCCCCGGGGCACCTCCCCAGGGACAAACCACTTCCCTGCCAACATCTGGGCTGGGCGGGATGGCCAGCCTGGAGCAGGGACCACCTGGGAACAGCTCCACCAAACCCCAGGCGAGACCAGCCACTGCCTTCACGCCAAGCCCAGTGCTCCCCATCACCCTCCCCAGCTCTGGCTGGAGGTAACTCCCTTATGGGCATTTGGTCCTGGGTGCTTCAACGCAGCACGGGTCCCCCTCTCCGCCTCTCCCCGGCTGCCAAGCAGGGATGATGATGCTCTACAGGTGATCTGGGCTAAGATAAGAGCGAGCTACTCTTATTATCCCAATTACTACTGACATCTCCATCACATATTGTTTCAAAACACAGTGAATCACCCCACTGAAATAACAGGGCTTCCATCAACATACAGAGCAGCCAAGCACACGGCTCAAAAATAAGCCCCAGCTTTCCCTCAAGCAAAACAGCTGCTTGCAGAGCCATGCTCCTAACGCAAATAAATAAATATTCCCACTGCCCGAAGAGACCCTTGTTGTGCTTCAAACCATGGCTATAGCTGCTCTGGAGATAGCTGCATTTCAGGAAGCGAGAAGAGGTCGAGAGGTGGAAAGTCTTTCCAGAGGGATCTTGAAGAAGTGAAATTTTCAACATTTCCCTCAAGAAACGCTAGTGAAAACCCCAAGCAGGAATTTCCCATAACCTCTGCCCCTGAAACTGCACCGAGGAGCTGAATTATTCCGGTTGTTATTGGAATTTATTATTGGGAGAATTTATTATTGTTAGCATTGGGAGAAGGGTTCAAAACCAAAACCAGAGCAGCACATTGGTATCATTTTTGTCTGGAGGCAGACTACTGCTAATTGGGAAATGGATTGCTGCTGCAGTTTTTCCCAGCTCGGGCACCACGAGAAGATGGAGCACCATGGGGCTCGGCGAGAGGTGGCTTAGCTATGCCCATGATTTCATTTCACTGAAAAAAGAAAGGGATTTCTATTTTCTCCTTTTCTTCTTCCCTACACAACGGTCCTTTCCTTTCCTCGCACCAAAAAAAGTCAGGAGCTGCTGTTGTCCCACAGCATCGCTCCAAACCGCAGCATCCAGAAGCGTCGTTAATGGCACCCTTCCTTAGCAGCGGTACGGAAACGAGGGGTGCGAGCACTGGGAAAAGCAAATTAGACAAAGGCTCTCATCCCCCCTGCCTGCACGCAGGCAGGAGGAGCAGAGGGGAGAACCAGAGGGGGTTGCCCAAAAGCTTTGCTCTCTATCAGCCCCTGCCTCCCTCCCCAAAAGGCGACCGTCGCCCGGGGCATCGCCGAGCCGGGATGCGCAGGTCGAGCTCTCTTTGCACGGGGCTGGTGAGGAGGAGCAGGATGAGGTGGGGGGCTCAGAGATGCCCCTTCCCAGCCCGGGCAGCCCCGCGTCGCTGCGGGCTGCCTTTGTCTCGGCAGCCCCGGCCGGCCGGGAGCAGGAAACAGGAGGAGGGCGGGAGGCCCGTCAGGAGGAATAATGGGGCCGGACAATCGCTCCACTGATGTCACCCTTCCTGCCATCTGCTCCCAACGCCAGCCGTGCCCCCCCTGCTTCGCCCCACCGCCTCCCCCAGCCCCGGTGTGGGGAGCCAGGGGCAGAGCAGGGCCGGCGCTGGCAGGTGGAGGCAGGGAGACGATGCGGGGTAACGGAGCTCTAAACCAGCTTTCAGCATCCCCCCGCTCTGAGGGTCTGTGCACCTCGAGGCAGCAGACCGTATTGACCTCTGGGGGTCCTCCCAAAATACATCCACAACCCGAGTGGCTGAAATCGGAGGCGTGGAGGGGGGGGAAGGTGAAAGAGGCGGAGGAGGTTTTCATCTCCCCAGACTGCAAACTCGCAGGTTGCATGCATATAAAAAGGCTTGGACACCCCAAGCCACGGCTACCACGCCTGCTTTATGCCAGATGAGGATATGGCTGCGACCCCCCCCCCCCCCCGGGTCCCCCGCTCCAGCTTCCCAGGGCAAGTGGCTTAACCTCACAAGGGTGCCCTGAAGCTTAATTAATTCCCGGGCTGCACACGCTGGGAGAGCCGCGCACCGGCGGCGAGTGCGGCAGGGGCTGCGCAGAGCGGGGGCACGCTGCCTCCCGCCCGGGCGGTGTGTCGGGAGAGATTTCAGCCGTACCGAAAAGAAAAGGCAAGGAAAGGGAAAAAGCCGTGAATTAAAGACGGTGGCAACGCCTCTCCTCCGCCCCCCCCCCCCCCAGCATCCCTGGTGATAATCAGGTCCCCGGCCGGTACCCGGACCGTTAAGCAACGCTCCAGGAGCGGGGAGGAGGCGATTGCTCCTTCTATGGGGACAGAGCGGGGACGGCAGGATGGACCAGCCGACCCTTTCGGGAGCCACTGCTCCTCTGCGGCTGACGAGCCGCAGGTTTGCAGGCGGACGGCATCCGCTGACGTTAACTCTTCCACGCTTCCCCCCTTCCCCATCATTCTCCTCTTCTTCCTCCCCTTTGCGCATCGCTTCTGCTGCTGCCGCCGCCGCTCCACGTGACGGCGGCCACTGCAGAGGTGACCCTCGCCGGGAGGAAGGCTGCCGCGCCGCGCTCCTCCTAGCTTGCGGGGGAAAAAAAAAACCCTGATTATTCTGCTTTATTCTCTGGGGGATTTAAGAGCCGCTAAAGCCGTTCAGGAATCAGGCTCTGCAATCTCCTCCAAATCGCCCAGCCCGGAGCATCACCGCAGCAGATTGGCGTGAGGCCGGCCCCCCCCCCCCCGCTCCCCACCGCGCTGCGAGTCCCCTTGATCCCGGCGGGGTGATGTCACCGGCAGCCAATGCGGACAGCGGTGGCTTCGCGGGGCGGGGGACACGCCGCAGATGGCTCCAGCTGGGCCCAGCATTTGATTAATCGCCTGAATTACCCTCGCTTTGCCATAAAACTACAAGGCGGGAGGGGGGAAATGGTAAAAGCGAGCCGGCGGGAGGGCGGGCTGCGGCGGCAAAGCACCCTCCAGCAGCACCTCGGCGGAGGGCAGGACCTGGCCTACGGCACCGGGGCTCCAGCCCAGCTCCGTGGCTCAGCGCCACCTCTATTATTTAACCAGGAGCGATAGAGAGAAGAGCCTGGGAGAGATAATATGCCATGACACCGGATAAGAGCTTCTGGCGTCACAGGGGAGGAGGATTACATGTCCCTGAATGGAGTTAGAGATGACAGAGGGGAGGGGAAGAGTTTTTAGCAGGGGATTAAGTTTACAGCTCCAGGAAGGCTTTGGAGGGTTGTCCGCTGGTGTAGCACAAGTCCTAAGGCTGATATACCTGTTAGACTTGCCTGGAGAGGGCTCCCGGAGCAGGGAGCCACGTCACCAGGGTGGGGGTGACAAACAGGTCCCCAGGGACAGCCCTGTTCATGCTCCAGTGCTCCCAAGAGTGCCAGAGAGATGCCGGCAGATACCGGGGTCAAGGGATGGAGGGAGGAGGACGCACAGACCAGGCACAGACGGGCCCTCAGGCCCCATCCCACCCCCACCCCTGCCCCTTTCTACTAGGGAAGGGGGTGCAGGCGTCCACCAGGAACGGGGAGGGCCAGATCCCCTACCTTCATCTTGGAGGCGGGCTGGATGAGCTCCGTGATGGAGACCTTGTCCTGCTGGAGCCTCCTCTTGACGAGCTTGGAACAGCAGATGTTGACGGAGCTGAGGACGTGCCAGGAGTTGTACTCCACGAAGGAGCGGCTGTCAATGACCAGGGTGCCCTCCGCTCCGTTCCTCAGAAGGGTGGCCAGCTTCTTCGGGTCCATCACCTTGCGTGGGAGCCTGTCCCCAGCCATAACGGGCCCGTCCCCTCTATGGCGAGCGGGGGGGACAAGGGGCGGAAGGGCAAGGCAGGGCCGCCAGCACCCGTCTCCCCGAGGGGAATGAGCGAGGGGGTAAGAGGTGAGCAGGGCAGCACCCGTCCTGGTCTCCTCACGCTGCTAACACCCAGGATGCCAACTCATTGTGCTGAACCTGGAGGGAGGAAAGGAGAAGACAACCGGTCAGCTGGGTAGGACACAACATTCACCTTGGGCCAAGTCCCCGAGGGCTTGGCCTTCAGAAGAGTGTAAGAGTGCAACAAGCCACACTTTTTAGGTACGTTCTCCCAGCCCACGGGCATCTGTGGCTCCAGAGCTGCCCAAGCCAGAGGTTTTCTCTGTGTATTTAATAGCCCCCAGCAGAGCTTCCTTCCATGAATGTGTCTAATTGCTTTCTGAAGCCATGTCAGCTTTTAACAGGCACAGTGGCCAGTGGCAGGGAGTGGAACCATTTTCTAGCTACGGTGAAGAAGTCCTTCCCCTGGTTTGCTCTAAATCAGCTAACTGATGGCTCCCCTGGTGACCCTTACCACTTGCACTGGAAGAGGCCACACGTGCCCATTCCCTAATCACCTTTCCCATGGCTCTCACCACATTCAGATCTCGTTTAGGAGCCTTTCAGGTCAGAGCATCTACAGAGCCGTCTGTTGCACAGATGCCTTTTGCCACTCCGGCCACCCCAGCCCCGACACGCCGTGTCTGAGAGGCAGGCACACCAGGGACCTGCATGGGGCAAGCCGTCTCCTTCTTTCCCTGTTCCCAGCCCAACAGCTCCTCGCCCTCCACTTGCTTCTTCCGACCCCAGCCGAGCCCAGAGCTAACGGTTTCACAGAAGCAGCTTAGCTCAGCTTTAAGATTTTGCTGCCACAGGGCAATAGGTATTTCGGGGCCCATCAGACACACCACCAAATCAGGTTTACTCACCCACATCCATCACTTCACACTGAATTTCACCTGCCTTTTTATCAGAGCCTGCTCATGGGTATCTTGCCAGCTTGCCTCCTGGCAAGTCAAGAGAAGATGACCTCTCTTGCAAGCCAAGAAGTCGAGTTGACCTTCGCTCCTGCCTTCAAGAAACAGGCGAGGCATTAGGGCAGAGGCCCTGGGAAGCTGTACTTGGACTGAGATGGCCCCAAAGCCGTTACTGCTTTCCAGCATCTAACTTGCACAGAGGGTGAAAGGGGGGCACATATCTGGGCTCCATCTTAGGAGCTGAGGAGGGCTGAGCCTGGTGCTCTCTGAAGGGCTACCAGAAGAACAAGCTTCCTCCATGCCCAGCCCATGGGGTCTGCAAGAGCAACGGGCAGGCTGGGGGGCGTTCAGCTCAGGCTGCCTTCTTAGGTTTTAATGGCACACATCATTGCAGGCATGTTTTAATGGCATTAGGTTTTAATGCCACTGCAGTCATTCAGAAAATAAGCCTGGGCTACTATCAGGCTCCTCTTGTTCCTGCCAGACGGTGTTTTAGAGAGAACCCACAAGCTGTTCCATAGAAGCTTTAATGCATCTGAATTAGGAGCACTGTGAGTACCATGCCTGAAAAGGCCAGCGTAAAGATTTTCATTGATTTCTGCAGGGCCAGGATTTGGTCCATGGACTAGAGGAGGCTTATGAGTCACCCTGATCCGAGTAAGCCAGCAGTTCTTGGAAGCTTCTACACCCGAAGCCCCTGCGGCACGGGCACCTACTGCTCAAGGCGCAGGAGAGATGCTTCAGTAGGACACGGTACTGGGTGAAATGACAGAGACCAGTCACCAAATCTGCAGGACACAGCCAGCTTGCGGGAAAAGGATGGAAAGCCACAGGATAGGAGGACAGGGGTTCCAGCATTTGCCCTGGCTCATGGCTCCGGGCACTGACAGCCCCAACTTCCCCAGGCTACCAGACCTGCCTCCCAAAGCTGGGGGTAGATGTCCCAGGCTTCAGCCTCAGGACCCAAACTCCCAATACAAGGCCAAAATAGGATGTGCAACCCTCCCCTGCCACTGTATCGCACCACTGATGCCTCTGCCAATGTATTAATTCAAATTGGGGGGGGCGGGGAAAAAAATCCCCTAAAAGCTGCAATAGTGATGGCCCCTCCTGGCACAAAGCATCCCGGCAGTCCCGCGGCACTACGGCATCGCTGTCCCCGGCCCCACGGCGAGCTTGCATCGCTCTGCGGTTCCTCGCGGAGACCCCAATTAGAGCTGCCCCCTCGGCGGGCGGCTGGCGGTCCCCCCGCCGCAGGAACCCCGCTCCCCCCGCCTCCCCCCAGCACTCCTCCAGGGGGGCTTAAAAATTGAAACAGTTCTAATTAGGGGGTCTGAGGGGGAGCGAGGCTGGCTCCTGCTGGGATATGACACACCTCATTACGTCGCTACCGCCTTGCCAGAAGACCCCCTGCTGTACCTTGGCTATAGAGCCAGGGCACTCAGAAAGGATGCAAATTAGCCAGCTTTTCCCCTTCGTCTTCCTTTCACACCCCACTCCCCAAAACGCTTTCTGCCTCCCTTCCCCATCAGGACACCAGGCTGTGTATTCTTCTCGGCTCTTCCAATTACATCCAAGAAATAAAAAGGGAATGGAGAGAGTCAACAGACAAAAAAGATGGGGATAATACTGCGGCAGAGGGATGAGAGTGAAAGACTGAAGTGGGAAGAAGGAGCGATCCAACTCGGGGGGGACACATTGCACAGTACTGCCGGAGATAACATGGTACCTGCTCTCCAGATAATGCGCAAGGGGTAAACTTTGGGTGTCTCAGTCACAAACAGAAAGGTCTGGGAAAGATAACAGATCCTCGATCGCCTAACCGCTCTGAGAAACCTGTTCAGAAGGGGCCTTCCATGCATGAAGTTCTGGCAGATGACCGGGAGCTTGGGTGGAAGAGACCGGAGAAGACAGATGAGGAGGTTTCCCAGCTCAGCTAATAGCCGCCCTCCTGCAGAACCACCGGATAAATGTCTGCTCCAGAACGCCCGGGTGGACCTGGTGGCAGACACGTGTGACACATCAGCCAGGTCCCACTCCCAGCTCCACCCAAAAGATGTGGGGGAAGGCAGGGCAACGTTGGTCCGTTCTGCCCCTCTTTCTGGGAGCCTTTCGGGGGGATGGAGATGACCGACTGAGCGCAGTCACAGGGAGCTGTAACCTTGGCATTAGACCCGAGACACAGGGACTTCTCAAAAAGTACATCCAGCCAGGTCAAAGGCAGGTGAGCCACTTCTCTACCAGCAACCACAGGACATTTTGAAGCCAGATTGAGGGGTGGTAGGTTTACTCCCAGCTAACGGGTACCCCAGGTACCAGCAGAGGCTACGAGAGCTTCACAGTACCTCACAGGCTGTGTGTGAGATTGTCTCAGAGAAGAACGAGCTCTAACACCTCCGTACCTGGGAAGGCTACCAGAGAAGGAAGGAAGATGTCTTTCTGCTTCTGCTCAGATGGATGAAAAGGAAAACTGAAGAAACAGGCATAGCCATGGAGCACTGCTGAAGTAAGAGATCCTCTCCCCATGGTGACAGGAGACCAGGGGAAAAGGTTAACCTGGAACCTAAATTAGGGTTTCAGAAACATAGCTGGGTCCCTCTCTTATCAGTTTATTAAAGCCATCTTAAGCTTCTTGAGTTCTCCTGAAGAACATTACCATAATCCTTTAATCCCACCTCTCCCCGGAGTGCCTGTAATGAGGAGATGGGCGCACGGCTTAGCTGAATGGGGACAGCCAAGCAGGAGAGGCCACACTGCAGCCAAGGGACAGAAAGACGGGCAGAGCTCAGCACACAGGCCGGGCCAACCGCCCGCTCATTGGGACTCTGTCCCCAGTGTCACCTCCACGGACGTGCGTGTCAGGTGAGGGGTGCTGGCCAGACGAGTCACGAGCGTGACAGAGACGTGCCGTGGCAAGCTGGGCTGAGGCTGAGCGTTCAACCCGGCTGTGACCCTCTTCTGGTCAGGCCGGGCAAGAGAGCAAGAAAACCCGAAACGCACCCCAGCCTGAGTCTATCCGTGTGGCACGACGGATCACGGGAACTCATCCCCGTGCTGGCCCAGCACAGGTCACTGAGGTGGAGGCCACTTCCCTCAATTTCTCACCTTGCACAAGGCACCCAGTTGAGTGACGTGGTACGGGAAGGGCGCAGATCTGGTTTCTCTTGTACCGGGGCCATCAACTGGAAGGCCAGCATCTCTCTGTAGCGACCATAAACCTCGCTAACCGGCATGTCCACTCTCTGCACCAAGCTAGCTGTTGTGCCCTGGAGAGCTCTGCCCCCGACACACGGTCCAGGTGAGGAGATGCTCCCCTCGCTGCCTCGGGCAGGCCAGCTTTGCTGCGGGAAGCAGCTCTGGCCCCATAAACACATTTCTCACGTAAGTGAGACTGGATCTACAGCACGCTCCCTGTGATGCTCATCCCAGGAGCACGCTCTTCTGGTGGCATCTCCACCTTCAGTTTACCAAGGGATAAGAGCACCACAGAGGAACGCCTGCTTGTTTGTCCCCAGTAACCCACGAAAGCAGCCATTCCCAAAGAACTGCCAACTCCACCGGGACCCAGCAGCGCTGAGCTAAGTGATCTGGCTTTTCCCCCTTCAGCCCACCTGAGGAAATACCCATGCCCTCGGAGCCCTGCGGCGAGATGCTGCCAGGCCAGGGCTCCTCCATCCTCCCAGGTCAGCGCTGCCACCAGCTCCAGGCTTACCACTGGGGCGCTGGCAGGACCCCACTGGCCCCCACCTCTCCAGACACTTATTAAGATGTAAAATGTGGCCCTTTTGCCAAGCCCTCCACCCTTTTTTTCCTCCCCATCCCCTCATTTCTTTCAAGTGCTTCGGCACTTAGCGAACTCCCCTCAGCAGGCTCATGCTGTTTGAGGGATTCCTAAATCACAGGCCTATTACTAATTATTATTATTTTGCAGCAGCAATCAGGGACGCGGGGCTCATTAACAAGTTAGCACCTCTGGTTTCCCTGGAAACCCGCAGCTGCCAGGCAACGGCTGCGTCTCTGGCCCGAGGCGATGCTACTGCAGCGCCTTTGGCTCACGCCCGGAAAGATGCTCGGGTCCTGCACGGGTTGATGAACCCAGCTTAGCAAACGGGATGGGGTGAGGAAACTCCGGGATGTGTCCCCCTGCTCCACCCCATCTGCTGTGAACCTCAGCCCATCTAC